CGCCCGTTTATCCTCCCAGGCACCAAATATACTTTTCAGAAGTTCAACACCAGCATCACTTGTCGTGCGACCTCTTCTGAAGCCAAATTGTTGGCTCTGTAGAATATTGTTTACACTAAAGTGAGTTTGCAGCTGGTCTAGTATTATTTTCTCAAAACACTGAACTTACACTGAAATAGGTCTATAATTAAAATAGGTCTTTAATTATAGCATTCGTACGCCACCTGCGGCGGACACGCAACGGCAGTCATTGGAGAGAATTTCTCGCTACCGGTCGTAAAACGCTCCATGGCCGATAGTGACAGATATCGACATCATCTCGCAGAAGAAGGCGGTGGCGGCGCGCTTGCTAGCATCTCATTCGGCCCTGAATGTGGCCGGGTGTGGACGGGACCGGTTTTCCCCTCCACCCGCCATAACGGCCAGTCACGAGGACGCGACCAAATTAATAACAGTATTTCACGAATCAGAGGGATCACGCAGAGTAGCACACCGTGTCGTTTTAGTCGGTCTGATTCCGACACACCACCCCGCCGCAAACCCCGGTTCGGTGAAGGCCGGAGAGGGTTTCCATACGTAAAACAAAAAAGGTTTATGTCAAGTTTTCCTTCTCTTTGCATTGCTATTGTCCTGCGTAGTTTGCTCCCTTAGTCGGCTCTTACGACACCCTTTTTTTCTGTACGGAAATCCCCTCGGCTACCACCCATCGGTGGTTATGTCGGACTCGAACCGACCAAAAAAAAGCACACCGTCTCGGGTACCAGTAGCTAAGGAACCAGGTGTACCCTAGAAAGGAAATTCCTGGTACCCCGACATACCTCGGGCCATCTACAGCAGGTAGATGACGCCCTCCTGTGAACCCCAATGAGGGCGCGCACTATGCAGCGCGTCTCGCTGCCAACCCGTCCTGCTTCTGCTAGGGTGACAGATGGCCTCACCTGTCACATGTTGACGTTGATACTGAGGTACAGTGGTTCCGGGAGGACATGACACACGAAAAAAAAATTACGACACCCTCGGAGTGATGCGGTGATGCTACGTATTCTTAATCCCACTATACACGCAGTTCAATGCATACAAAAATTTCCATTGACCAAATATTGACACATAATTTTCCAAATGCACTCTGCCGTTGAATACTCGACCGCTGCATCGGCGTCATGGAGGTCATTCATGCAAATATTGTTGTCAGCCAATATTATTGCTACGTCACGTCGAATGCATAAAAAATTACTTACTATAAGATTTACCTTACGTTCAATGACATCAAGCTTGTATGTATACTCGTACTTCTAGATATTTCAATAAAATTATTGTATTTATTTCAGATATTATTCTTGTTCTTTACTCCTTCGATTCTTCTCATATTCTCTCTAACGCAACGTACATTAACTATATAATTTGTTATGATTACCTTTTCTATCAAAAATGACGGTACCGAAACACCCATAGTTTACTCGTATACTGCATGTAATGTAATCTTACTTGTGCAAAATAACAAATATTTACATCATCTGTTGCAGGCTTAAAAAGAAATGGTGGACCCTTCAAATGATACTCTTCCTAAGGAAGAGCCTACACTAAGCAAGAGTAGAGAAACTGACTGGCCTGCTGTACTGTTCTTTATCCATATTCACTTACTTTCTCTGTATGGAATATGGCTGCTATTCTTTGGAATCAAACTGCAGACTTTCTTGTTACGTAAGTTATGATAAGTTATTCCTGGATTACGACCAGAGTAGTACAAATATAATGCTACAGACCCGCAACGCATAAACCACTAGTGAATTTACAGCCTTGGATTCCGCATGGGCACAGAATGAATAACATGGCATAGGTACAATTTATTAGTGGTACAATTGATACAATTTATATGACAAGCCTGTTGGTCCCGTAGTTAGTTTTTCTGCCTGCTAAAATACCAAGCCAGAGATCGTGAGATTGATCATCAGTTCAATGTCGGGGTGTAACTAACATATATTATGTAGGTAGAAATATAATACAAGTACGTTTATCTGCAGTCTGGTTATTTCGGGAAAAAAAACATTTTACCTTTAAAATGCGTGGAGTTCTAGATGTCGATTTTTGTAAATGTTTTATTGACATATTATAAAATATCTTGAAACGCATCCCACGCTTTTTTTACGATAAAATGAATTTTTAACTAATAGAAACTGAAATAGAAAATAGAAATGTTTTTAACTAAAATTTATTTCTGCTTTTTTAGTCGGTAATTTTGGTGATTATTTTCTCATTAAAGACTAAAAAGTTAATAAGTACAGCAAGTCACATATGCTTCAGTAGAAGCCTAAGTACGTGACGCAAGACTTAACCGTATATTTAGATAGGTAATGTCTTGAAGTTTGTGAAAATTACGTTCAAAGATTCCGTTACATAAATACACACATTACAAGCTAATAAAAGCTGTGGATTTAAAAAAAACTACCTTTTAATTCGGCTAATAACAAAAACATACTTTTTAGTTTCTTTTAACTATTTTTTTTTTTGCTGAAAATATTAAAAAAGTAACAAGTAAGTAAGTCACATATTTATTATGCTTCTGTACACGCCTTAGTGCTTGGTACAAGACACTACCGTGCTAAAAAAAACATCCTGATTTAGATATCTTCCCTTGATAAGTGTGCGTAGTTTCAATTCAATCCGACGTTTTGAATTGAGTGAAAGTCACGTTCAAAGATTTAGTTATATACATATATTATGTAGATGCAGATGACGTCATGAATTAGGTGTCAATAACGTAAATATAATGTAACTTTGATATTAAAGCAAACTTTATTTATTTTATGGTTAACCTTTTAATAGTTGGAATTCCTAAATGTTATGCATATTACGTCAACTAAACATTAGTAAAAAATCTAATAAAAACAATTAATATTATAAAACTTGACTAGTTCTCTTTTTTGTTTGGTTATGTAACATAATTAACATCCAATCTAATATATCTAATAACTTTTCAATCTTAGCTATCATTTGCTAGCCAGTTAAGCAATAAAAGGTGCATACCTAGATATTTATTGGCTTCGAATTTTCGTCACCAACATCGTGTGAAGCGAAACCTGGTCTTGCAAATCGATACTATTAAAATTCATTTTGATGTAGGACATCCCATGAACAGCAGGTTGTATAAAATAGTCACTGAATCGAGAGCAATATATCTTGTTTATATAGTTATATGTTTAATTAATAGATAGATGCTTTCTGTGCAATGATGTTCTATATGGCAAATTAGCATTTATTCCAAAACAGTCCGATTGTCCCTGCACGTGGCTGCCTCTAGTATCCTTTAATAAACCTTTCATACATGACCGCCGATCGTGGGTGGTATGGACCTTTGTTTAAAACATTAAACCAATGCATGTTCAGAGCAAAGTTGACCTGGGCTGGCTTCAAAATAATAAACGTACACGACGTCTTTATTTTTTAATGACTAAGTAGCAGCAGTAAATCAAAAACCCATAGTTTTTTTAACTAAAATATGGTCAATAGGAGGCAAGCTGATTGGACTATATAATTGTATTATTAGTTTAGGAATTAACGTGATCATAGATATTTTCTTTTTAAAGACATCTCCCGCATTAGGATATTATATATTATATCCTGTGTCGCGGGGGACTTTACAAACATACATGAAACGGACACAAAGAACACCTAGACTCAGAACAACAATTTGTGGATCACACAAAGTATAGTCCCATGTGGGAATCGGACCCACAGCACTTAGCGTAGTAGTAAGCGGCGTGGCGACCGCTTAAACCACTACGCCATCCGTGCAGTCAATAGATATTAATTACCTTTGAATCAGCCGACGTTTCAATCAGGTTGTGCTGGCCGTAGTCGCAGACTAGTCAGTCTATATTATCTATACTAATATTATAAAACTGAAGAGTTTGTTTGTTTGTTTGTTTGTTTGAACGCGCTAATCTCAGGAACTACTGGTCCGATTTGAAAAATTCTTTCAGTGTTAGATAGCCCATTTATCGAGGAAGGCTATAGGCTATATATCATCACGCTAAGACCAATAGGAGCGGAGCACCAATGAAGAATGTTTCAAAAACTGAGAAAATTTATTACTATTGAGAGACGCAGACGAAGTTGCGCGGGTCAGCTATATGTTATATGTATGCTGATAATTATAATGATATTGAACGCGAAAGTTTCAAAGTTGGTTAAGCCCTTCGTGCACTTTGGGAATTAAAATGGAAAAATAAAGTCAAGTAGGCAAGAAGAGCAGACAATGTAAGGATTGCATAGGCTTTTCCTTACACTCCACACTTCATCCGTTTATCTTTAGAAGGACAAGGTTCAGGTTCACATACTTATAAGCCGAAATAGATATTACCGGAAAATTCAAGCTTACTAACTAAATAGGGTATTAACACTTACATGACTTATTAGTTATATCATTTAATTATATTTGTATACTTTCAGTTGTTGCCCTCACTTCCGTAGCAATCTTGGGTATGACTACTGGAGCCCATCGGTTATGGGCTCATCAAACATACCAAGCGAGTACTGGACTTCGAATTATGCTTATGATATTCCAAACTTTAGCTGGAATCGTAAGTATCTTGTAACTTTTTATGAAAATAAATAAAGATTGTCATTGAGTTTTGAATGCACTTGTAATTCAGACTTACACTGTTTTGTTTTTAATGTGTTGGTTATTTTGTCAATACGCCAGGACAAGACTTACGTTATAAATAAAGAATTCTGATTGCTGTGCTATCAATACAGGTTCAATGAACCACTTACAAATAATATAAAAAAATATATATAATAATCCTAAGCCCCCATTGCTGTGCCGTAGAATAATAGAAAGAGAAAAGCTGCTACCAGCTCATATTCCCTATTATCATATGTTTTTTTAATAATGACGATTTGATTTTCAGGGTCCTATATATGATTGGGTACAATATCATAGATTCCACCACGCTTATTTCGCTACAGACGATGATCCATACGATTACAACAAAGGTTTTATGTACTCACACTTCGTTACACGCCTTAGTAAACTCAGTCCACATCAGGAAAAGCTCAAGAATTCCATTGATATGTCAGATATTGAAAAAGATTCTGTGGTTATGTTGCAGAAAAAGTAAGTGTCGTCTTATATTACAAAAAACTTGGATTTACCCTTTTTTAACACGCTGTTATTAGCTTGGTATGTACTCGTATGTATGTTTATAGGTATGTATGTACGTATGACCGATATGGACCGATGACAATGTAAAAAATTTAAATAGTTTGTTCTATTATAATCATCAGGACCTTCAGGATTAACGGCTTTTTCCATACCCAAAATTTTTATTTTTAGCAAGTACTTACGTACTAAGCATATGTAATAAACTTACTTGTTTTTTTTAGTCTTAATAAGATAATAATCATCATTAAAAAGGTAAAATAAATTATAGTTTAAAAAAAAACTAAACAAACATGCTTTTGTAGCTAGCCGAACTAAAATGTTGGAAATAACTTTACTTTCACCAACTTCTGTCAGTAAAATATTTTTACAACGATTGAGATCTAGCACCCCGCGATTAATTTCCGATAAAATGATTTTTCTTTTTTAACTTATAGAAAATTATGTCCTACTTTTTAGTTCGGCTACATACAAGTGTGTTTTTTTAGTTTTTTAAACTATAATTTATTCTTTACATTACGCAGGTGTAAATTTAGAAATTTATAATGCCATCATACCTACTGTGTTTTTGATATTATTGTAGTTATGTTTCGCGTTAATTACTTAACGACCATCTCTGTTCTTTTCTAATAGCATATAGTACAAAGATCATTTTAATCCTGAATTCATTATTCATTTCAGATTATACTGGATTCTATATGGTATTTTGTTCCTGCTATTACCACTAAACGCTCCCCTCGAGTACTGGGATGATTCAGTTCTAAGTGCAGTATTTGTAATCGGATTCTTACGCTATTTGATTGTTCTTCATGCCTCGTGGCTAATAGAAAGTGCTATCGGTGTCTGGGGACTTAAACCTGGAGAGAAGTAAGTACTTGCAATTGCACATACACATTGCACATTGTAAAACGAATTTAGGTAAACTGACTGATCGAGATGGTTCTTAGCTATAATTTGGAAGATCATCAGCTCACTTCCTAGATGATGAATTTGGTATATTATTACTTTGATAGTATTTCCACAACATGGTAACCTGAAACTTGCTGCTGCATCAAGTAGTCTGCGAGATAGCCAACTCCTCAGAAAATTAGAGCATATATATACCATGTTTTGGCTTATTACAGCAGTGTCAATGAGCAATTGTTGTTTTTTTAAGGTATTTTTTGTGTCCGGGGTTTTTAATGATGGTATTATAGCAATATATTATAATAATTATTGTTTAATAAAGATAGGAAAGATAGGATTCTCACATAAGTAAACTTACCAACTTAGTGTTATATAACAACTTTCTTATCTTATTTAATCTTATTTATTTCTTTATAAATTTATTTATTAAGAAATAAATAAGAATAATAAATCATAAAATAAGAATAATTAATTTATTAATTTATTAATTTATTTGTTGTTTGTTGTATTCTTTCATTATTACCTTGAAAACGTCCCGAATACGCTTGAAATATTTATTTGTAGATATGTGCTGAAACCATAGACTGTTATATAATAAATGAAGTTAAATCAAGAAAAAATCAAAGAAAATAATGAGTCTTGGAGCTTTTCAATACTGTGTGTTCAATACACTTTTCACACCTGAGGGGAAAAAAAACATTGTACTTGTTGACAGCACATTTGTGATAGCCAGCTGTCGCTAGTATCGATTTCAGTAGAGCCTATTATATAGGCGTATTATGCTGTTCTAAAAATCTGTTAAAAAAAAAAACTGTAATTCTTGGTGATGTTAGCCGCAAAATTAATACAACAATAATGCCTTCCTTGTGATAGGCAGGGCGGTACAAAAGTCCCATACGTGCCTGCCATTGTCGTTTCTCTAAAACAGCTTTATGATGTGTTATTTAAGAATGTATGATTTTTTTTTTAAATTAGAAATGCTAAACGTATAGACAATACGTACATAAGTGGTTGCAATCGGCACCACTCGTTATATCTCTAGGTATTTTTAGCGACTAATGTTGTAGTTGGATAGTTGTCATAATATGAGCATGAAGAATTCATATTTTATTCCTTTTTTACTTAATACGTAGGAGTAGGAGTAGATTATAGGTAGGGTAAGATGCAGGTGCAGTAAGGTGGACGCAATGAACCTAGAAATGCAGAATAAATGTAACCTAGGTTCATTGCGTCCACCAATTTTGGTTTTAGGGTTGTCACCTCATATTTTTCATTAAATATTTTTGAAAAGTTATCACTTTAAATAAACTGGAAACCAAATTTAAACATCAACAACCAACCCTAAAACTAAAATTATCTTAAAATACTTTAGAAGGTTCTTGTTCCGAAATGCTATGAAATTTGGAATTGTTTTTTTTTTTTGTAATGCACATTTTGATAAACTGCAACCATAACAAAAATAAGATGCCAATTCTTCATCATAAAGGAATTAAAAAATAAAACCTAAAACAACAAAAAAAAATTCTTTTTAAGCATAGAATATAGAAGAAGCATAGAAATTAAAAGTGTTATTTTTGAAAGTAAAAATATTTTCCATAGAAATACTTTAATATCCAATATGTTACGTTTAAATCAAAATTGTCGCACTGGAGTTCTACTCTCCATTGAAAACGATTTAGTTTATCGATATATATAAATAATATAAGATGTCCGTTTTTTCGGTTAAAACTTTAATGTGCATTGGTGTACATCACTAGATAATTATTACATTTGTTTTTTGTCCACAGATCTCCCCCAGATTCAAACACGGTATTCATTATTACGAAGACTTTTTGGCCTCATTACCATTATTTAATACCGTACGACTACAAATCAGGAGAGTATGGTACATATGGTAAGCATTTCAATTAATACTTTTAACTGAAAATTTAACTGAAGCATAGATAGAACAAATAATCGAAAACATGAATTACACATCATTACAATCATAAATTTTACATGTTAACATATTTGTATAGCAAACAAAATTCATGCAGTTTTCTATCTTAATGGAGTCAAAATTTGTTAATAGGAACTAGTTAACTTTGTTAGCTTTATATCGGACATCCAAAATACAATGCCATCTTGTTTCAAACTAAGCAGAGCTTGTACTATGAAAGCTGAAGAATACTTAAATACTTTTTTGTACATAGAAAACACCCAAACTCCGAAACAAATATTGCAGTTCATAGAAACATTTGGTTCGACCCGGGAATCGAACCCAAGACCTCAGCACAGCAGTCGCATACGCCACTAACCGCACCACCAATAGTTTTAGCTATTTAACTTTATTGCCAAAGTCATCAAAAGATTAGAGGGCACTTGTACTGAGTAATTTAAACACGAGTCGTCTTCTTCTCAATTCTAAATTGTTCACATATATTTTTGGAATAGTTTTACACCCCTATAAGATCTTTGATCAATTTTACTCTGTAGCTAGATTGATTAAGTTAAAATACATGTAATAAATTATAAACTTAAGATTGAGCATTATTTAAGAATTTTCCTCAAATCTCCGAAATACTATTACAAGAAAATTACGCATACAAACTTACATTTGCAGTTTGAAAAGATTGTTCATGTAATACATTTTGTGATTAGGCTTTATCTGATTATATTAAAGACGAAAATGTAATTAAGTACACTACTTATTAAAGTTATTATAAAGATAAGATAAGATAAATATGAGTAATACAATTTCTAAACATCGTCAATGCCTGAGATTTATAAAAGTCTACTATCAAAATCTATACAAGATTCAATTTTCTTTTTGCAGATTGCGGATGTTCGACTGCATTTATTCGAGTGTGGGCTGCTCTAGGACTTGCTACAAAATTGCGCACTTTTGAAACAAAAACCATTCAAAAAGCTCTAATAGATTCAGTCCATACAAATCAGGATTTGAAAGTCTGCCTTAAATCAGCTTTGAGTCAACAGAAACTTCAAGAAGAACATTATCTACAGCGAGATATTTTTTCTCAAAGTTAATTTTGTTAACTATAACGAAAATAAATTATCTGAAGATAGACCAATGGAAATGACAAAGTCGAATGAAAATGTTTTATTTGCAACTTGTAATTAAAACTAATTTCGTACTTTAGTATGTAATTTGTAGGTATATATGCTATTAGGTAAATAATACCAATTTAAATACGTTCAAATACGTTTGTAAAACAAGATGGTATGTACATACATTACAATAATATACACGAAATTAAACAATGAGCATTATTTATTAAACAGTTTCTGACCGGTTTAATATTAAACATCGACAACATTATCGATATATAATAATAATGTTAAGTTGATTTGTGTACGCTTCAAAAACTCGAAAACTTCTGCACCAATTGAGCTTAAATTTTGAGACGATACGAGTATACAATCCGCTTCAAAGATTGTTTTTACCTATTGTTCGCATATTTGTTCTTCGTTCCTCATGAATAAAACCACAATGTGACACTGCGAAGCATGGCAGGGTACAGCTAGTATTGTATAAAATAAGAAACTGATTGACTGATTCGCTGACTAATTGATCAACGCGCAGCAGGTCAGCCACTGGGGCTGGAAGCATGAAATTTTTGCACGAATGTTCCTTAAGTGATGCAAATGTTCAGTGTGCACTAAGACGGGATTTAAAAAAACTCATCACTAAGGGGTTAAATCTCGAGAGGTTGAAGTTTCATACAAACGTATAAAACTTGATCAAAGAAGTTAGAAATGTAAAAAATGATGTATGTGCTCATGGTTCTACAAGCTTAATGTACTATTTAAAAAAATATCTTCTTTTCTGGTCGAGTGTGAGTTGTCCATATAATAAAGTTGACGAATTCGTTTTATGATGCGATTCGTTGCTGTTTCATCAAGAATTACCTCATTCTATTTGGACGAACAATATATAAAGGCATAGGCCTCTCTTTAGAAAGGATGGATGGATTCAGACTGGTTGGTATAAGGTTTGCTTCCTTTGTTCCTGTTTTCCTTCTCTTTGCCGTGCTGTTGTTCTACGTAGTTTGTGACAATAGTTAATATTATTTATTTTTATTCTGTTGGTGTATATGCGATAATTTTTTCTAATGCTAGTTGCTGTTTAACCGTATTAATATTGACGTAAAACACTTTCTTATGCAGTCCTCAATTATTCACATGGAAGAGAAACATAGTTACTTTTTCTTTATTTTAATTTTTACCTAAATCATGGCTGAGAAAAAGACAACAATAAATTAAAGTATTTTTGAGTTTTTAATTTAGTTTTTGTCTCTCAGTCACAGTACAGACAGTGTCCGTTTAATGATCGTACTCAAATAACTACATATTTATATATATTTATGATTATACTGATTTGAAAAAGCTTTCGATAGAGTGAAACCTTTAGTCCATTCCTAACAAATTGGCTTATGGTTTTAATTTTCATTGTAACCTGCAGTGCTGCAGCTGTTCATATAAAACTGACCGGTTTCAAACTGTGCTATGTAACAAATCATCATTCAGTTGCTACGAGTAAGTACTCATATTCTGTCTTTTTTATCTATACAATAGAGAAACTATTATGCAACCTGTAATGTCGTGTCTGTTGTGCGATGTCTACAACAAAAACTGCTTTTCCCGCACGCTATCTTGAGCGTTTTGAATTCGTTTAAGAGCTCGTACTGTATACAGACACTGCTACTAATGAGTTTTACGAGTACTTTGTCCATTAAAGTATTTTTTTCTAAATGTCCTAGTATATTTCATAATTTTTTTGTAATTACTAACATAAGTAAGTATGGTTGTTATATTAATAATATGGTCGAGAGTTACTACTTTATTCAATATATTCAATTTTCCTGTCTGTATAAAAATATACTAATAATGAGTTTTCTTCCATATAGAAATGGAATGCGAATGAGTACATAGAGAAAAGTATGTGTAGCTTTTTTAATATGCCTATTATTAATCTTAAGTCAAAAAATTTCAAGCGAATAAATAATTTGAATTTGAATAAAGTATGGCTTTGTTAATAGGTAGAATTCAGAATTTTTAAATGTCTGGTTCAACAACCAAGTAAGGGAAAAGCAATAATATTGTGATAATGGCTGCCTTGCAAGCAAAAGGGCTGTGAAGCTGTTCTTTGACAGTAGGAAAAACTTTAACAAGCTTCATACTTCATGTGTGAAAAACGATTACATTCCCAATGAGGCGTCAGTCAGGTGACCGACCGACCGAAATATCGTGAAAGACGATATCGAGTCCTTAAGGACAATGGAGAAAAAAACTAATTGTATCGACCCCAAATTACTTTGAGAAGAGTAGAGGAAGATGATGATGATGCCTATTATTAAACATCTAAAGTAGTATTATCTGTACAAAGTATTTTTTTCAAATTTCTTAGGATCAGCACTTGCAATAGTCATTTAAAAAAAACATACAGATGAATTGAGAACCTACTCTTTTGCGTTTTTGAAGTCAGTTTTTTTACCGAATAGGAGGCAAAGGGGCAGACGGGTCACCTGATGGGAAGCGACTACCGCAGCCCATGAATGCTTGCAGCTCAGGAGTCACAAGCGCGCTGCCGGCCTTTGAGGAAGGAGCGCTCTTTTTTTGAAGGTTTGAAGTTAATAATAAAGTTACTTCTATTAACGTCATATTATCTTTATATTCTTCGCTAAATATAATTTAATATAATTGCTTAGAATGTGTTTAAAGTTATTTCAACAGCAGTATAAAGGTAGCACTCGGTTCCTAGTGACCGCGACTGCGACCCGCGACTGTGACTGTGTCGCTCGACCCTGGTCGCCAGTCACGGGGCGACCCTTAGCTTTCCTTTTGCAGTGCGATATGTACGAAAATTTTGCCGTAACTAGGAAAACAGCTATTCAGCAGCTGTTAGGGGATGAAGACGATGATGATAGTCTTATTAATATACTCGTAATTTTGGATGAGGAACCCTCAGCATTGCGATGCTGGAAGTTCCTCTAGTCGCTTAGTGACTTTAAACTTGTGGACCAGTCCAACTTGTGAGTGTCAACGTTTTATACGTCATTACACGTAGAACACACTGTTTAAACACACACACTGGTCTTGATTTTTACAATTGCGTGATATGACAAAGCTTCCCATATGCCGCCCAGCCCAGACGAATTCTTCTATCAGCCTTCTGAACATAGTTGTGCCGGCCGAGTTAAAAAGTTGGCCAAGATATTCTTGCACAACCTCGGTAGTCCCAGTCTTGGAAAATCGTCCAGACTATTAAGCATTTCTTCTAGATATTTTAATTAATTAATTAACTAAATAATCAATCTTAAACTAATATATTATTAAAGATACCATTATGTATAAAATATATTAAGCGCCTTAAAATATCATTAGTGACGCCATTTTGTCGCACAGTTCATCATAAAATTGGTATCTAACTCATAGTTAGTGATTCTACACCTAAAACACAAAGTTCTCACCATGATTAACATAATTATGTCAACCACTGAACTCTATCATTCTACTTTACCGTCTAGCCTGAATTTGTTTAATCTTTATATCCAAGGAACACGATTGTAAAAGATAGACCTTAGATAGATTTACATTCATTGTAAAAGACGGTGGATATAAACTTATTATGTATGTATGGACTTTTAGTTGTATTCTTCAAGTGATTCAGGTGAGCTGATGATGGAAGGCGAAACTCCTTAACGGTTAGGAGTTAGAAGATGGTTCTTTAAATATCATACGTAAGTATAGACGTTTAGTTGTATTCTTTAAAGTTACTCAGATGAGCTGATACTAAAAGGTAAAATTCCTCAATGCCGATGTAGTAACCTACATTCTATAGAAAAGAAAAGACATGCAAAGCTGAGGGTTGGTTTAACAAGCTACACTACATACCTAGCTTGTCTTAGTGCTGGTCTCTTTCTGTGAAGCTTCAGAAAGAGCCAGCTAAACGGGATCGGGAGAGGGCCGATCCCGAGCGAAGAAGACATTGGTGGTGGTATGAGCCGCCGACCAGACCGCGGGCCGCCAGAGAGCGGGGACCTCTGGTGGCAAATTAACTGCTGCGGTAGGGGATAGGATGGCGGCCTGATCCCACGAAAAATGTGATCCTCTAAATTTAGTGGTAGGATGATAGCCAAGGGGATCTCTCTGACTTCCTCGAGATAGGGCCTAGTTAGGTGCGCATCAGCAGGAATAACATTTGAAGGTGGTCGTTTTCCGTAGGTTGCTACCTCTCGCGACTTATATGAAGTAGTTCAACTTACTATGTACTTATGATTATTTAACTAGAAATGGAAAATAAACAATTAACACAAACCGACTTCAAAAAAACATCAAACAACAACGCCTTACCTAAAAATACTAAAAGACTAAAAATAAACTAAATTATTTATTTATTCAAAAATGTGCTACTTTTTCTAAAAATTAAATAAAAATCTTAAAAATAATAATTAATTAGTAATACGAGTAGTAGTAGTATTTGAACAGGATTACCTACTCTAAAATTACAAATCATCCTAACGACAATATTATGTAATAAGTTATTTCACTGCATAATTAAATTAACTAAGCGGTCGTAGCATGCAATCAAAAGGGTTCTCAATCTGGGACGGTTTTTCCAACAATATTCTCCGAAACCTGTAACAATAATATTTGTCTTACTTTTACGTCAGTGCCAAATACATAATTACTACAAATAATATAATATATAGAGGCATGTAAGTAAATGATTCAATAAAAATATTAGTTATAAATAGAATATTACTATTCTTGTTGTTTTTGTTGCAAATCTTGTTTTTTTTGGGGTTCCACAAATACTACCAAAGCTTGATGTTTATGTAAAACAATCCTACAATAGATTTTTAGTATTTTATTTTAATGTTGACCAAACAAACTGTTTATAGTGAAAGAGTTAGGTTTAAGTCCAGGTTATGTCGCTCGTCGATCAGCTTGTGTCACAGTAAGGCACTTCGTTTAAAATCGAGAAATTCGCAAATGACGCGAGATAGCAGATGGTCGACTAACCTTACGGCCTTTAATTGTGCAATCATAAGGACCCTGACATTAAAATCGCGATAGTAAACATGACACAGAAGGCCAACATAAGACGTCAAAAAATTTAAAAAATGGGATCGAGCAACTTTAATGGTGCTATGATATTATAACATACAGACGGATAAATGGTCGAGTCAGTCAGCAGTTGGGGTGTAATTGCAAGGTCCCAGTTACTATAGGAGATGTCGAAAAGTCACGTCGCACTCGATGGTCGAGGCTAGTACCGCTCTTGATTCATCAACATCCCGCCCACCAACTGTATGCCTCAACCTCAGTGGGACGTCCAACTTTTGTCTGTCTTCTACTAAAATGTCTACCACAAATAACAACCACAACATAGTCAAACGTCTACAATATTGACATCCTTATTTGCCTCCATTCCTTTTTTCTGTAGGTAAATGCTATTTTTAAGTGAACGTTTTGATCATTTTTAATGTTATTTTATAGGTGTTATAATTTTGTGAGTTCTGTTTTAACTGCATTCGTAAAAAATATTCTATATTACTAATGTAGGTTTGCTAAATATAGTTTTTTTTTTTCTAATGTAAGTTCGTTAATCGTGTCTTACTGCAAAATAATTCATTCAGTGTGCAGTCCTATAAATATAAATAATAGTCGAACTCACCTAAAGCCAGAGAAAAAATGAGGCCAACGGTAAACAAAATAAGAGCGGATCGTACATCAGTAGCCCTAGCTGAAGCAAAGCCAGCTGGGGGCGCACATTGTGGCATATCAGGTACTAACGCTGCTTCCAATCTTGCAAGCGCCCCACCGCTGCGTAACTGCAACAGACTGTAAACGCCCCAAACATGTCTTCACATAAAATGTACATGTAAACTCTAGTATTTACATTCATACAGTAGAAATAATATAAGTCTATATCATTAAGTTAAAGCTACGCTTTTAGTAGCCACTATCTTTACATAGTATAAAATGAAGTCATATTGTTCTTATACGCTTAGATCTTTTAAATTACGCAACGGATTTTAATGCGGTTTTCACCAATAGAGAGAGTAATTCAAGAAGCGGGTTTATATGTATAATACACGTATGAATAAATCTAAGAATTTCAAAGATTTGTAATGTGAAGTCGTAAAAAACATGTTTTTGTAGAGTACAAAAGCTTAGCCAGCTTTTGTACTCTACAAAAACATGTTACCTTACGAGATAGATCAAAATAATGTACTACGGAATATTCAATTCCATTCTTAAGCTCTACAAATAGTCCGCGATGGTATAATCTCCTAAGGATAACTTACAGTAACCATTTTTATTTCTTACATATTACAAAAAAATAATTTGTTATCTACGAAGCTATTTTGAACCATAAAGTATTATTTCTTATTATGCATGCATCGACACCTGTTTTTTTATTCATCATCATCAGCCTATCGCAGTCCACTGCTGGACATAGGCCTTTCCCATTGCACGCCACTTAGATCGATTTTGGGCTTCTCGCATCCAGCTCCTGCCAGCCATCTTGCGCAAATCGTCACTCCACCTGGCCTGTGGGCGTCCTACACTACGTTTGCCGAGAAAACGTTGCGCAAATCGTCACTCCACCTGGCCTGTGGGCGTCCTACACTACGTTTGCCGAGAAAACGTTGCGCAAATCGTCACTCCACCTGGCCTATGGGCGTCCTACACTACGTTTGCCGAGAAAACGTTGGGGAAAACGAGTTTTTGAGTGGAGACCGCGGTCTCCACTCAAGAACTCGTTTTCCCCAACGGTTATCGGTTCTGCGGCTAATATGGCCAGCCCACTGCCACTTCAGCTTGCTGATCCGGTACGCTATGTCGGTGACCTTAGTTCTCTGCCGGATCACCTCATTTCTGATGCGATCCCTTAGAGAAACGCCGAGCATAGCCCTTTCCATAGCACGAGCGACTTTGAACTTGTGGACCAGCCGTACCGTAAGTGTCCACGTTTCAGCTCCGTATGTCATGACGGGTAGGACGCACTCATTAAAGACTTTCGTCTTAAGGCACTGTGGGATCGACGATGAGAAGACTCGACGTAGCTTCCCAAACGCTGCCCAACCCAACCGAATTCTTCTGTTCACCTCGTCCTCGAAGTTGTTTCTACCTAACTGCAATGTCTGCCCACATAATTTTGAACAACTTCGAGAACGGCACCGTGTACCGCAATCGGTTCCGGTAGTACATGTTCGTTGAACATGACCTTGGTTTTATCCAAGTTCATCCGTAGGCCGATGCGTACAGAAGTGTCAGCTAAGTCATTCAGCATTTGCTGTAGGTCCTGCAACGTCTCTGCCATGATGACGATGTCATCTGCAGATCGCAAGTGAGAGATGTATTCGCCATTGATATTGATGCCACGCCCTTTCCAGTGCAGCGTCTTGAACATGTCCTCCATTGCATTTGTAAACAATTTCGGGGAAATAACGTTCCCTTGTCTCACTCCTCGATGCAATGGTACGGGCCTTGTTTGCTGATTCTGTACTTGGACGGACATGGTGGCGGCTTCGTAGAGACATCTCATCACTTGGATGTATCGCCAATATACTTGGCAACGCTGCAGGGACTCCAGAACAGACCAGATCTCGATCGAGTCAAAGGCTTTCTCATAGTCCACGAATGCTAGACACAGGGGCTGATTATATTCTTCGGTCTTCTGTATAATCTGCCGCACTGTGTGGATGTGGTCTATGGTGCCATATCCGCTCCGAAACCCAGCTTGCTCCGGTGGTTGGAGTTCGTCGAATCTTGCCGCAAGACGGTTCGTGATGACGCTCGAAAACAGCTTGTAGACGTGGCTTAGATGGAATATGGGTCGATAGTTCTTCAACCTGGTCTGGTTTTTTTATTAAAATTAAAGAATCCTACAAATTATTATGGTTTTATATGTGTGTCGGTTTATGTCTAGTTTATGTATGTTTATATATGGTAATGTGAGTAGTGATTGAAGATGTGGCAAAGTATAGATGCCAGAGAACGAGCGTACCTCTTTAAAAATACTTGTGGGATTCCATCCCAACAAATAATGAGTATATTATGATACGAAAAACTTTATCGGTGTCTGTTTCTTTTGTGCAAAAAATAAAAATGCATGTAGAGGTGTTTGTGCTGTGTGAAATATTAGTGTTTGTATTAACTATTGTACTAGCTAAACTTTTCGCAATGTTAAAAGAAATATGTTTACTTAACTGCAGGCCTGTGTGGGTGAGCATGACTAAGACAATAACTGTGAGGAGTGAATTTAAAGTTTGTACCGTATTTGTAATTGATTTTATAGTTTCCCAAAGTTTTTTAGTATTATGAAGTGTCTTATTTAATTCCTGTGTGTCAAATTTTCGATTTGGATTATATACGCTAAACGCCGACACATTTTTCAAAACAGTATTTTTCTTCTTCCAGTATCTGGAAATTTCTTAGTACATTAGGTATTGGCAAACGACAACATCCCCAGTTCAAAAATACTATTGATTTAATTGATATCAACCGTCATTTCTTATCTGCAACTACGCTGAATCGTCAAACTAAGTATCAAACCTTGAACTAACTCATTTGAATTTACTCCGGTGCCCCCTGAAGATATGAAAAAGATTATCCTATCTATCCGCTCTAATGCTGTAGGGTATGATGGCATTAGCCGTCGCATGATTGTTACCATCCTGGACCATATCCTTTTAGCAATTACCCATATAATTAACTTCTCCCTCGATTCTGTAACTTTCCCCTCTCATTGCTTACATCATCCCACTCCCAAAAAAGTAATCCTTCACTTCCTGAACATTTTAGACCTATTTCTATTCTTCCCTTTCTATCTAAAGTGCTCTAGGCCTGTGTATACAAGCAGCTTTCAGAATTTCTACACCGACATAAACTGCTAAGTCCTCTACAGTCTGGCTTCAGACCCGGTCACAGCACTATTACCGCCCTCCTCAAAGTGACTAGCGATATTAGAATGTGCATAAAGTTATAAATACAAAAACTATATATATATACTAGCTGACCCCGCAAACGTTGTTTTGCCATATACATTATGTAGGTTTACCATAGCAGTGCCATCTATTGATTACTTACTCAATCCAGTCGAAAAGTATCGACATCTGTTAGAATCTTTTGGAGTTAACAGATAATTGTGACTGTCAATTAATTATAGACCAATAATTTGCAATAAAATAAAATTGCGACTATAATAAAAAGATCTAAGCTATCCTATCTCTTAAGTTGGACCAGACTGCTCACGGTGTGCCAATTTAATTTAAAATCGGTTAAGTAGTTTAGGAATCCATCGCGGACAAACATCGTGACAGGAGATTTATATATATTAAGATAGTTTAGTTTAGTAGTAGTTAGTAGTTAGTATATAGGTATATATATAGTTTTTGTACCATCGGTATGTGAGAGTTACAGTTTCTTTGTTAAATGTTTGTTTGATTTTTCTCTGTAAGGCGTCCCGGTTACGCATGCATCGTATGAAGCCAGGTCAGGTCCAGATATTTCATACTGAACAATCCCACATATGTTGATAATATACGTGCTTACATAGCTAAGTGCGAAGGAGAAGTGTGCAAAAATATATTTTTTTGCAAAACGGCGATCTATTATGTACTTTTGACATGAATTAAATTCAGTAAAACTAAATTTAAATACTTACTAGACAAGAGTAGGTCTGGCATAGGGTGAGTATCTTGGCAAAGGAAACGCGAGATGCGCACGAGTTGAATATATTGGTAGTTCTCTAACCGCACATCGACCTCGAGCTTGACTGAGTAACCTGCACACAAATATTGCAAGGGTTTTGTTTATACACAAACATGAAACTAAAAGCCACTAAACACGCTTAGCTTACCCACTAAACTTAACAAAACATAAAATTACTTAGAAAGAAGTAACAGTTTAAATATAACGAAAAAAAATCTGTTATAGCCTGCACCTGTTATTGTAATGAAGTTGATATTTCTGTTCTCTACATGCAGGGTGGCAATGAAACTCATGTCTCTGTAACGTCAGAGACTGCAAATCTATACTTCTAATTTAAACCAATCAATATGTTTTCTTCTATTCATACTAAGTACTCAACTCATATTGAATTACTTAATAATTAGCTATATAATTTAAAAAATAAAAATTATTCAATTTTTATTAAGAAATTATGATAAGCAATTGAGCATTTCATCATTAAAAAGGTGTTGACTACCTTTTCACAAAATTGAGGATAATTAAAAGAAATAACTGCAATAAATAGCTTAAAATAACCATTGCATAAGAATTAATAAGTCCAAATAAATATATTGATACTTCTAAATAAACATTATTTTTTCGAGAGCACAATTAGATTAGAGAAGAAAGAGAATGAGAGACTAGAGACTATTAAATCAACAAGACAAACCGCAAGTACATAACCATATTGATACAACACAAATGCCTTCTTTTCATAGTCTTTAGACGGAGACACCATGCCACAAACCACATTATTAAACTACTAATAATTAAATACTAAATGTACCTAAGCGTTGATCGCGCTACCCGTTGTCCAGCAAAGAAAGCATAGTCCTGTTGAGCGGCCCGAGTGAGGCCTTCTTCAGCCGAGGACACCAGATTATCTGCATCCGAATAACCTCGGATGTAAAAAGCATTAAGCTGTACATCTTTTGTGGACTACAATAAGCAAAAACAAACAAAATTTATTTTTTTGTTATTAAGTCTGATTGACTACTACTAGCTACAATTCAAAAAATTCTGAGTGTAATTGGTTTAATTAAAATAAAAGACTGATTTTATTAAATTTGCTTTCAAAAAAACCTAAGCACAAAGAATATTCTATTATTGGGTTATCCGATCTGAACTATTAGTGGAACGAACCAAACATATCGTCACAATAATAGTACCTAATGACTGTACAATTCCTTATTGGGACAAAATGTAAAACTCAAACTAAGCGTATTTTAAGATATGTTTTCAAAAAGTATAGTTTCTAAAGCTTATCGTTAACTAGGTTATTCAATATTCTAAGGTTTCATGTTATTATGATATTACATATTGTAAATGATTCCTTTAATAGGAACAACGTCCAATGTGATTCCGACGCCTACTTGGGTTAATAAGCCCGGAAGAGCTTTAAACATGCAAAAACAATGACAATCTATACATTGGTAGTACCCGATATTCGTGTATGAATTTCACCTGGTTCACGGCATAATACTCACTATCAGATTAAAACAGACATATTAAGAAGACCAATACACCGTGGTAAGAAATATATGTAGAATAATAATAATAACTCGAGATAATTCACTTGACCGTAAGTGAATGCGAAATTAGGTAGTCTCTGTGTTATGATAACCAGACTACTAATAAACATTCTTTTATATCTCTAAATTTATATAAATTAAGCCCACAGGACAAATCATCATGCTCATCACACAATATTTTTCCTGGGTTAGAGTTAGTGGATTGGATCCAATCCAATCCACTAACTCTAGCTTCACTAAGTCAGGCTCGCTACCCTAGACAAACAAGCCAGTCAACGATACGTATACGATGTCATCATCATCAGTAGCCAATCGCTCTACTGCTGGACATAGGTATCGACTGCCTCAGTGGTGTAGTGGTAGCGTATGCGACTGCTGAGGTCTCGGATATGATTCCCGGGTCGAACCAAATGTTTGTTTGATCTGCAAATATTGTTTCGGTGAGTTTGAGTGTTTTCTATGTATGTATTTACAAGAAAAGAATATATAGTTATTCTATCAGTCAATCTAGTTGTCATAGTACAAGCTCTGCTTAGTTTGAAACTAGATGGTGTTTTGTATCAGATGTTCGAAATATTATTATTATAGGCCTCTCCCATTGCACGCCACTTCGATCGATTTTCGGCTCCTTGCATCGAGCTCCTCCAGCTTGCTTGCGTAGATCGTCACTCCACCTGGCCTGTGGGCGTCTACATTTGCCTAAATGTGGTCTCCACTCAAGGACTAGTTTACCCTAACCATTGTTCTTCGGCTAATATAGCCATCCCAGCATGTATACAATATATAATATGAGTAATAAGGGGTTAAAGTATGAAATTACCGTTGGATTGTAATACATACTTTGAATCGACATAAAACCTTCATGGTGTTAGATTTTCGTGTAATTTTTTTTCCACACGATACCTATGAGGTTCTTTTTTTTAATGTGTAACACTGCCCACACAGGTGAATAACGCTGATTTGAACGAGATGGTGGAAGCCGATCCGAGTCAAACCACCCAGGTATTAGCGCATGGTTTAACGTTTTCGTTCAAGATTTTTTCCCCTTGTAACTTTTAAACGATCAGCCTGTGACGTTGGCCAGTACAACCCAGTCAAGCAATTCCAAAGTATGTTAAAGCTATTGATCACAGCCTTCGATCCATGCTATTGTTGATCGAAGATCACAGCGCGTTAATTCTCGTATCAATAATTCTACAATTTTTCTGCCGATTATCAGATATTACATATATATATACATTACCATAAGATACATTTGATCAGCTCCATTTCTTATATATCCAATCTTGAAGTCAGGTGAGTGCAACACAGCGGCTATTGTATCGACACTCGCAACTCGAACGGACAGAACTGATGTAATAAAGGCTGCATAGGAATTGTAAGTAACTACAGCGAAGAATAGGCACACGATGAGTAGGATGCTCGCAGCTGGATTTGATGGCGTCCACGTACTACCTACGTCATAAATGAATATTAAGAAAATAATGTTCTCGTCAAATAAAGGTAATTAAATTACACTCTGAAGTGAAATGCGCACTACGATGCCGACAGCGACATCTACGATAAGTACATAATTTGGGACGTATATTTACTAACAGGAAAAACTAACGTCTTTCCAATAATATGTACTGGGTATATTAAAATTTTAAATGTACAGACGTGCAAGCAGCCATACTCAATTCTATGATAGGCACTTGCGGGAACTGCGCTGGCATTCGCCGTGAAGCATTAACACCGATACGCAATACGATTATTACTTAAATTTCAAAGTTCACGTTTACACGTAATGAAAGAAATGATTAATTGATACATTAGATTATACTGATCATAGATTAAAACGAATATTAGTGTGTATGCCTTTTTTTTCTGTGCGAAAATACGCTCGGATACCACCGGTGGGCTTGTTCTCTTTCTGCCCCCGATGCCGCGTTTCGTCTCGCCGCCACGCTTGCCCGTTTCTGCTAGGATGACACATGGCCTAGGCCTGCGTTATAGAGGATGGAGGTCGTTCGGCGACCTCCAGCGCCTAAGTCGTTCCCGGCCTAGCAGGCCGGGATAGTTCTAAACCTCTCCCGCTCCGCCGTCTTCTTCGCAAGCATAACAGTCTCGCAGAAGGAGACGGCAGAGTTCCACGTACTCTCACTCAATACTATGGCCACAATCATGGTACCGAGTGAAATAATTCCTACTCCGATAGCTGCCACGAGGCCCCGCCTTTGCTACACCCACGCCGGATATTTTGCATGGGTCAGCCGGTATGAGAGGGTCCCGTGTTGCCTCTCGAGCCAATCCCCTATAATCGGTCTTACCGCCGCAATAACGAGGTGCCCGGCGCTTGGTTGCCCAAGTCGTTCTTTCTTCTCCTCCACAAGGACCTGGCGGAGTTGGGATCTCTGGTTTGGTTGATTCTGGAGTTAGATATTCCCTATGTGGGATTGAAGTTTACTTACTTTATTTAGCGTAAAGCTACAGGGGACTAACAATAACTTTGCTTGTTGCAGATTAAGAAGCTCTTAATTAGATTATGTGTGTCGTCTTTTAGTTTGTGTAAGTGGTTAAGGCGTTGGACTTGCGATTAAGAGGTCGTTTCGGTCGGTCGACTGTCTAAATCCTGATCAGTACACTATCGACGTGAACCCACTCCCAACACAAGCAAATTAGCTTAGCGGAAGGGGTTAACGGAAATACAAATAATGTCGGTTGCTAATAGACCTTTGAAAAAAAATACATGGAAAGAGAAATGTGTCACAGCCACAGCCCATTTTTTTTTTTTTTTTGTTGACGGGATGGAAAATCCCTTCGGATCTCCTGCTCCTCGGGGACTATGAGCCAGGTGTATGTGGTGATTCAACTAAAAACCACCCCGGCGGCCGGCCTCGGGTGTCTTTCTCTGGGGAGGACCCGGACCATGTTATTTCAGGTCCACCCCGAAGTGACACCATGCCTAATCAGGCCCTATTCCAGGGAAGAACACTTCCCACAACAATCGCGGCATGGCGGCCCGATCGCATCTTAATGCAATCAAGCCGGCCATTCCATACCCTACCGCAGCAATCAATTTGCCACTAGAGGTCCCCTCTCTGGCGGCCTGCGGCGCCCTCGACGGCTGTTATCGGCGCCGACGTCCTCTACGTTCGGGATCAGCCCTCTCCCGATCCCGTTCAGCGGTCTCTTTCTGGAGCATTACAGCTTCACAGAAAGAGACCACTGCGCCCCATCCCTCCTCACCCGCCAGCATGGCAGCAATAATTGCTGGCGGGGACAGGTCTCGTCCAATTTGGCCGACCAGGACTTCGCGTTCAGACGCCCACGCGGGGCAGTCTTCCAGCGTGTGCTGGGCGGAGTCCCAGTCGGCTGCGCAGTGCTGACATTGTGCCGTCTCCTCGCGTCCGATACGATTCAGGTACTCACCGAAGCAACCATGCCCAGTGAGTACCTGCGTCAATCGGTAGGTGACGCGGCCTCCCGCTCTACCTACCCAAGCTTCGAGGCTAGGCAGAACGGCACCGACAGCGCGTTGGCGCGCATTCCGCGGTTGTTCCAGCCGCGCACGCCACTGCACCAGTGCCTGTCGGTGAGCGTTCCGCCGCATTTCGAGCTCGTCCCGGTCTTCCCCGCTCTCACCCCGGCGGATCGCTCGAGTCTGAACGTAGACCCTTGCGTCCATATCCGCCAGGATATCAAAAGGCGGGAAGCATGCCAGGACCGTCGCCGCCTCCGACGATATGGTGCGGTATCCCCGTACGATCCGAATGGCCGCTACCCGCTGCACTTGATTGAGCTTAGCTCAGCAGCGGGAGGAGGCCAATAAGCGCTTTGCCCATATCGGCGCTCCGTAGAGGGCCATGGATCGTATCACCGCGGACCCCTAGATTAGGCAATAGCCTCTGAAGTAAAGACTGACCTAGCCTACACTATATCTACATCTTTTAAACAAAGCCTTAGTAAATTTTGTCAGTTGACTCAGGATTACTATTTGAGCTTACCGAAGATCTTTGCCAAATTATTTTCAAGCTCCCTTAAACCGGGTCAAAAAGCGAAATATTAAATGCAATTTGCAATATATGTATGAGTATAGAACAAATAATTTTTGTCTGTAAAATAAAATTGTACATTGTACATAGTCTTTACTTGATTTATTTTATATGATAAATTCAGTAAAAAAAAAACATATTTGCTACTTCATATTAGTTTGAATTATTTATTGTTTTGTTTTAACTGGACTTACGCTTATTTTTAAAAAAACGTAAATTACGCCTAAAATACTCTAAGCAGAAAAGCCTCCACTACGTATTAAGGGCTTTTCTTATTACTATCTATCTATATTTATATAAAACTAGACCTAACAGTCCCTTTTTAACAAAGAGAATTATTAGGGCTAAATTAGAAAAATTAAGTGAAGCATAAAATTAATTAAAACAAACACCATCAACAGTGCTTGAAACTTCATATCAAACAAAACTGTAATTTACTCAAAATTATACTTTGACAGGACAGGTAGGTCAGTTTAATTTAAAATAGATCTTAGACAATAATTAGACTAAGTTAAACTAGTGTAAAACTAAAGCAATAATATTTTATTTTTAAAGGTTTTTTAACCTATAAAGTGATTACAATTTAGTTCAAAAACTTCAATCGCATCCTGCCTGAACTAAGGTAAAATTGAATTTCAGGCGATCGCTTGACTTAGAATTCTACCCGGGGAACTTCGTATCACCTACATCTATTTATCTATATATCTAATAGTCTCTTTTGAACATAGAGAATTAATAAGGCTCATTGGAACATTGTCACAATTTACCTTAAAAAAGACACAAACCTTCTAGGTGATTCTTTACAAATGGCTATAAAACGTTTTTTGTCTCTTGAGCGACATTTTCAAAGCGACTCCGCATTCAAAGAACGGTACTTAGAGTTCATGCGTGAATACGAACAGTTAGGACATATGACTTTTAACACAATGGTTCGTAGCTTTTCCGCGACACGTAGTAAAGAAATTAGTTATTTTTAACCTCACCACGAAGTTATAACTTATAACTAAATTACGTACAGTGTTTGATGCCTCTGCAGAAACTACCACCGGTCTTTCATTCAACGACATCTAAATGGTTGGCCCCGTGGTCCAGGATGATCTTCTCTCTACATTGTTGCGCTTCCGTCAGCATAGATATGTTATATCGGGCGACATCGAGAAGATGTACAGGGCCAAAGACATAAATCTCTCTCAGAGAACACTTCAGCGTATAGTTTTTGTAAAGTGTATACCTTAAACACGGTAACGTATGATACTGCTGCAGCGTCATACTTAGCCACTAAATGTCTGAATAGTCGAGCCGCATCAGCTGATAAAGAGCGAGTTAACGAAGCGCCATCCAGCACGATTTTTACAGTGGGAGTGACCCTATCTCAGGCGCTTGTAGACTCACATAACGAGTGTGAACCGGTTCCCAATGGTGACTCATAAATGCTCTACGCAAAATGGCAGCGATTGTACATAAACAATAAATATTTCTTAAAAGAAATGTCAGATTGAATATTGGTGTAATACTTGAATGGCTTATAACTCTGCATTACAGTCTCACAGAGAACTTAGTTCCCATTGAAACTTGTTTTCCATCACACACACGCACTGATACCAACACATACACAAAATCTGACATACTCGCAAGTATACTGATGTCACATAACAACCGAGGCACCTTGTGCCTCCGTTGTTGTATAACCCGAAATACTAGGAATCACCTAGTTTGGGCACCAGATCACCACAGTATAACTAAGCACTCATCATCATCATCATCATCATCAACAGCCTTTGATAGTCCACTGCTAGACATAGGCCTCTCCTTAGAAATGAGGTTTTAGCCTACTATACCATGCTGGCAAGAGCGGTTGGTATAGGGTTTGTTTCAAGGTTTGTCGGCCTCCAAGGAAGGAGGTCTACTGGTGGTCCCAGGAGTTGGCGGACCTCCGTGCGGCCTGTGTACGTGCCCGGAGGTCCCTCACCCGCAGTCGGCGACGTCACCGCGGGGTCGGTGAGGAGGTGGACCGGCTTCATGAGGAGTACCGAGAAGCTCGGAAAACTCTGAGGCTGGCCATCTGCCGCGCCAAGGATGCGTGTAGAGAGGAGATGCTGGAGAGTCTCGAGCGTGACCCCTGGGATCGCCCTTATCGTGCGGTGCGTCAAAAGCTCCGCACGTCGGGCCCCCCCCCCCCTTACAGAGACTCTCCAGCCCAGCTTCCTGCAGGAAGTGGTCGAGGGCCTATTCCCGCAGCGGGCGGAGCACACACCCCCGTCGATGGCTGCATCAGCCGGAGACGACGGAGGCAGCGAGGGTGATGTTCCGCCCGTCAGGGAATCGGAGTTGGGGGCGGCTGTTCTACGGATTCGATCCAAGAATACCGCCCCCGGGCCGGACGGGGTTCCAGCCCGAGTGATGGCCCGAGCCCTCGACTACATGTCGGACCACCTCAGGGGGGTGTTGGACGCTAGCCTGGCGTCCGGACGCTTCCCTGAGCGCTGGAAATGCGGGAAGCTGGTCCTGCTGCAGAAGCCGGGACGGCCTGCCGATTCGGTCGCGGCCTATAGGCCTATCGTGTTGCTGGACGAGGCGGGTAAACTTTTTGAGAGGGTGCTCTCTGCCCGCATCGTCCGGCACCTTTGCGAGGTTGGCCCCGATCTGTCGGACGCCCAATTCGGTTTCGCCCATCGGATCGATGCCGTAATGCGCCTTAGGGCCGTGACCGAGGAGGCCGTGAGCTGCGGCGGAGTGGTGTTGGCGGTGTCCTTGGACATCGCCAACGCCTTCAATAGTCTGCCATTCAGCTGCATCAGGGAAGCGCTCCGCTACCACGGAGTGCCGGAGTACCTGAGGCGGCTGGTGGCAGACTATCTTGAGGAGCGAACCGTCATGTACGAGGACCGAGATGGCGTCTTGAGACGCAGGGCCATGTCGTGCGGTGTTCCGCATTGGTCTGTCCTAGGACCTCTCCTGTGGAACATAGGGTACGACTGGGCCCTACGAGGGCGTCTCCCCCCCGGGCTGGGTGTAATCTGCTACGCGGATGACACCTTGCTCACGGCCCGGGGGGCTAACTTCCAGGAGGCGGCACGCCTGGCCGCCACGGGAGTTTCCCTGGTGGTCGGGCGCATTGAGGCGTTGGGTTTGCGGGTGGCCCTGGATAAGACGGAGGCCCTATTATTTCATGGGTTCCGTCGTGGTCCACCCGCCGGCGCCTCAATCGAGGTCGGCTCGGTCCTCCTACCGGTCCGGGCCCAGATGAGGTACCTGGGTCTGGTCCTAGACGGTAGGTGGCTCTTCGACGAGCACTTCCGACAGCTTGGTCCGAAGCTGGTGGACACTGCCTCCGCCCTAGGGCGACTTTTGCCCAATTTGGGCGGGGCCAGTGTTCCCACGAGGCGGCTGTACGCGGGGGTTGTCCGGTCCATGGCGCTTTATGGTGCACCGGTGTGGGTGGCGGCTCTGAACGCCCCGAATAGGGCGCGCCTCTGGCGCCCCCAGAGGATATTGGCGGTCAGAGCCATACGCGGATACCGCACGGTGTCCACCGAGGCGGCTTGCGCCTTGGCCGGAACACCCCCGTGGGATTTGGAGGCGGAGGTGCTCGCCGAAGTTTATCGGCGAGTGGCTGACTTCCGGGCGGAGAGCGGATTTCGCCCTCCGCCCGAAAACGTGCGCGAGTGGCGCGAAGCCGCTCGCCGAGCCACTATGGTGAGATGGTCGTTCCGGCTGGAGACTCCACGCGCTGGCTTCGCCGCCGTGGAGGCTCTCCAGCCGGTCATCGCCTAGTGGGCAGGGCGGCAGCACGGGACCCTTTCCTTCCGTCTGACGCAGGTGCTTTCCGGGCACGGTTGCTTCGGAAAGTACCTGTACTCGGTCGCTAGGAGGGAATCGAGTCCCGCCTGCCACCACTGCGACTGCGGTGAGGATTCGGCCCAGCACACGCTGGCGGTTTGCCCCGCATGGGCGACGCAGCGCCGGGCCCTCACTGCAGTCATCGGAGCAGATCTCTCGCTACCGTCCGTAATTCGCTCCATGGCCGGTAGCGACAGTTGTTTTACCGCGGTCGCAACCTTCTGCGAGGAGGTAATCTCGCAGAAGGAGGCGGCGGAGAAGGCCCGGGAGGACGACCTCCACTCGGACCTGATCCGCCGCCGGCGAACCGGGCGGCGGAGGCGCGCTCATCTGCGCCTCATGCCGTCCTGAGTATGGCCGCGGGTGGACGGGATGGGTTCTCCCCTCCACAAGCATTAGTTGGCCAGCCGCAAGGGGGCGGCGTCTGCGTGTGCCGGACGTCGCCTAAAGAGAGGAAAGTTTTGAGACGGAGCCCGCAACAGGAGCGGGCCGGCGCTGGGTGGGGTCCAGAAGGCGATAACTACCTGGACCCCTCCTAAACTGGAAGCGCAAAGAGGGCACACCGTGTAGTTTTAGTCGGTTCGAGTCCGACACACCGCCCCGCGAGAGCCCCGGCGGGGTGACAGTCCGAGGGGATTTCCACACGTTAAAAAAAAAAAAAAGAGTTTGTGTCAAGTTTTCCTTCTTTTTGCAGTGCTGGTTGTCCTGCGTTAGTTCCCTTAGTCGCCTCTTATGACACCCACGGGATGAATAGGGGTGGTGACAGTCCGTATTCTTAATCCGTCACCACACGGACTTACACTGACACTGACACATTTTTACAAAAGGTTGTATTTAGGGAATACCCTACTAGTTTTGGACCTACCGAGAACTTTTAAATAATAAATAAGATAACAATATTTTGGCCTATATTACCGAGCCCTTTCTCGACTAAAGCCAAGGATAATAAAACGGCGTAAGGGGTTTATGGCTCCCGGTCGGCACGAAGTTCCTTTCGCTTTTTGGTAGACGTTTATATATATCATCATCATGGGGTGCCATCCTCAAAATGAAGTTTGGAGGTCAGCAGACGGTACACCTCTCGATCATGAGCGGCCTCCTTTAGTTGGCGATATCGCAGTAAGGTCCAGGCCACGATGTCATCTATCCACTTCCTTCGTGGTCGACCTGGTGTCCTCCTGCCTGGTATTTTTCCTTCTAACAGAAGCCCTGAGGAATTCATGTTGCGGGCCCCTTTGTATGTGTCCAAAGAAGGCCAATATATATATATATATATATATATATATATATATATATATATATATATGAAATATGAAAAAGATGTAAGCGTCAACGCCCCATTTGAAGTGTCGGATAAAAGTCTTGTTACACATTCTTAGGTCTCCCTCCCATCCGCTCAGAGCATGTAACGCGCGATAAGGAACTTCGTTCCAATAATAAAATACATATATTTCGTTTCGCAATACACAATCTTATTTTTTTTTTTTTTTTTTTTTACGTGTGGAAATCCCCTCGGACCGTCACCCCGCCGGGGCTCTCGTTCGGAAGGGCGGTGTGTCGGACTCGAACCGACTAAAACCACACGGTGTGCCCTCTTTGCGCTTCCAGTTTAGGAGGGGTCCAGGTAGTTATCGCCTTCTGGACCCCACCCAGCGCCGGCCCGCTCCTGGTGCAGGCTCCGTCTCCAGGACCTCTCTTTTTATGCGGCGTCCGGCACACGCGGACGCCGCCCCCTCGCGGCTGGCCAACTAATGCGGGTGGAGGGGAGAACCCATCCCGTCCACCCGCGGCCACACTCAGGGCGGCATGAGGCGCAGGTGAGCGCGCCTCCGCCGCCCGTTTCGCCGGCGGCGGATCAGGTCCGAGTGGAGGTCGTCCTCCCGGGCCTTCTCCGACGCCTCCTTCTGCGAGATTACCTCCTCGCAGAAGGTTGCGACCGCGGTAAAACAACTGTCGCTACCGGCCATGGAGCGAATTACGGCCGGTAGCGAGAGTTCTGCTCCGATGACTGCAGTGAGGGCCCGGCGCTGCGTCGCCCATGCGGGGCAGACCGCCAGCGTGTGCTGGGCCGAGTCCTCACTGCAGTCGCAGTGGTGGCAGGCGGGACTCGATTCCCTCCTAGCGACCGAGTACAGGTACTTTCCGAAGCAACCGTGCCCGGAAAGCACCTGCGTCACCCGGAAGGAAAGGGTCCCGTGCTGCCGCCCTGCCCACCCGGCGATGACCGGCTGGAGGGCCTCCACGGTGGCGAAGCCAGCGCGTGGAGTCTCCAGCCGGAACGACCATCTCACCATGGTGGCTCGGCGAGCAGCTTCGCGCCACTCGCGCACGTCTTCGGGCGGAGGGCGAAATCCGCTTTCCGCCCGGAAGTCAGCCACTCGCCGATAAACTTCAGCGAGCACTTCCGCCTCCAAATCCCACGGGGGTGTTCCGGCCGACACCGTGCGGTATCCGCGTATGGCTCTGACCGCCAATAAACTTGACACAAATCCTATACCAACCCGTCTGGCCAGCGTGGTATAGCAGGCCAAAACCTACTTTCTAAGGAGAGGCTTATGACCAGACCGGAGACAGAGACCAGCAGTGGACTGTTAAAGGCTGTTGATGATGATGATGATGTAAAACCGTGTACCTTAAATAACTTTTAAAAACTAAATCATAAAACATAACTAACGCACTTCAAGTAAGTTTAACCATCAATTCCTATCAGTACACAAACTTTGATTACAAGACCAAGTAGCATCTAGCATGTAGAAGTAACAACGCGTAATTCACGATAATGTTGGAAGTGAAAGGTACTTTTGGTTGCAACATCTGCATAAGGTCATATTGCCTTGTTATCAGTTCAAAAGATGGATACAAATTGTTAGGTAATCAAACATCAAAAAGTAAAAAGGTCAAAATACTACAGCTAAATGTTAATTCAATTTTAAGACTTGTGTTGAATTGTTAGTTGATTACATGGGTTTTTCTCGGATTTCATAAAGAGGAATCATAAGACAATATTATTAAATATATATTTTTTATTATTACTTATTTTTTATATTATTTATTTTTTATATATTTTAGTAAAGGATTAAAAACCTATCTGCTAATTGAAATAGGAGATCGACCCTCTTTAAACCTGAATGCAGTATGTGCACGTGTTATTTGTGACACACCCGTGCTTTCGAACCTACGTTCGGGTATATTATCATATTGTAGCTCTACAGCTACAGTGTTTTCTAAGGTAACCATGTACTACTCAGTGCAAGAATAGTAAATTATATATGTTTTTGTTTTATTTAAATGTACATTCCCGAAAATGTCTAAAACTCTTCTAATTTCCACCGCTATACATATATAAAATTAATACACATAATAAGCAACAAACCTTGTTGACAAAGTATTCCGGTAGACCATATCAATGCCTCTGTGTAGTCTATTCGTCTTCCAGAACCCCTTAATGGTGAAGTTATTCTATTGATGATTACGATAGAAACGGCAGCCAAAAGACCTACAGCCACCACACATGCTACCAAGCGAAAGCTGAATGGAGCCAAGAATATATCCCGAACAGTAGATGTTTCTTGTTGTCGAATATAAATATTGCACCTAAAACAAACGGGAGATAAAAAGTGAAGATTACTAGAAAAATTAACAGTGGCATAGATTATACACTAATAGTAGAGAAGAGTTATTTTTTACCTCTCAAGTTACAAAATTCAATGATTGACAATATCTAGGACATTCGAAGAGGCAATATAAGCAGAATGCAATGTAAGCTAAGTAACTAAACCAAACTTAGCTAGTTCACGTTTCGTAACAAGACGGTAAAAATTTATCCTCGACGACTAAATCTTATTGAAAGTAACTATACTATAGTAGGTTATATTAGCAAACAACATAATTGTATAAGTAGGTACCTATATCATATTATTGCATTACACATTGACACGATTAATATTTTTGGAGTGCATTCAAAGTTCAACTGAAGGTCAAAAAGCTCTAAAGAGTTACCGATCCAGTTCGTTACCTGTCAAGTCAAGAGTAGTTTTTATTTATCTACGGTTAAATCTTTCAAATAAGGTTTCTAAAGGAGTATTTTAGAATATAATTGCAAAATTAGATTTAAACCTCAATGTTTATTATTTCCAATTTTTTTATTTTAATTTACACATTTTTAGCCTTTCGGGTCTGGGACCCGTAGAGTCACGTTACAGTTTGGGTCCAATATAGAACACTGTCAGAGAATGCAGTTAAAGAATCGCGAACATGGCAATTCTCCGCTGACCCATTAGTTCACTTAATAGTAGATACCAGTAGTATATAGAAATAATATTTATACAGGGTGTGAGGCACAAGGTCTCATAGATCTCACTAAAACGTCTTTCTGGGGATACTTATAACGATGCAAAAGTCAGTTCATCATAAAAATTAAAGATAATGGATTTACAGTGATTAGTTTTATTTTGCGCTACGCAATGTTCAGGTACTAACGTAATCTATCGCTGCAGTATCGTAACTCGCGCGCGTACAGCTGACGAACGCTCGCGTGTTAATACTACTACTTGGTTTAAGTACCTACTTGCCACCGTATCTACAAACTCAGGTCGTTGGTGCTCGTATCATAACTTAATAGACAAAAGTCGCTGAATGGCAACAAAACACATTTTTTTGTATTATAGAATCTAAACTATGGTTCAGTCCAATTTACCTGCATAAAAACAATTAACGCTCTGTACCTTTCGTAACTTCATTATTTTCTAACTTCCTAAAATTAACCATAAATTAATTAACTTAAAATATCACGCATGTGACGATGGTGCTTCAATTCACTATGAAGTAAATCTACCGTTAAAGAGGTAGAAAACAGCAGAATTAAGCTTCAACACCTTCAGACTGCAGAAGATCACGGTTAAATTTCGTTACATAAACGAATTTCGTTACATAAATTAACGAATACAGTGTTTTCCTCCAACTCGCTCACAAACTCGGGCACTGTGCAATGTCTCAGCATCGAGGCGAGGCATCATCGTGGGATCTTCTACGATATCGCTATTTAGCTTCTTAAACGCGTCCCTTATGCACTGACGCATTTCTTCCGCATTCCCACACTCGGTCACGAACACTTTGTCTTTTATGTATCCCCATAAAAAAAAATCTAAAGATGTCAAGCCAGTTGAACGCGCTTGCCATGGGTGAGGCCCAAATTTCCTAATCCACCTTTGGGGGAAAGTTCCATACGCCGTTAATCGTAAATATGGACTCATGGGTCCAAATCACGTGTGACTTGGACCCATGAGTCCATTGGCGGTCCCGGCGAAGGATTTTGTGTACAGTCCAGTGCGATATAGACGTCCCGTGACGATGCAGAACCTTCGCAGTAGTTCACGTGCCGAGACGCGGAATACGCTGAACAGTTTCTAGTACTTTCCGCTCTACTCGCGCGCTAATATGTCTGCCAAGGCCTTCCCGCTCTGGTACAATGGGAACGTTATCCAGCACACGTTGATATGCCCGAGTTATAACGTGACTATCCATAGGGTAACGCTGAATGTAAATACGAAGCGCCAAAGAAGCATTTCCTCTTGCTTCACCATATGCCATCAGCATCTGCCCATACTCACGCGCACTAAAGGGCTGTTTTGTCAACCGATTCATAATTATTGTAAATCACTTTCATTAACACCAATCAGGTATTTTTCCCCTTAGAATTCGCACTAAAAGTTCAAAAATCACGATTACGTGCAATTACGAAAAAGGAGTGACACGAACTAAAATAAATTTACATTCATCCAGAAAGATACGTTATAATAGCTACTTCTGAAAGCTACAGATATCGATAATATCGAGTTGTTTCATATCCTTTTTATAAAAAAATATTTCAACCCATATTTCTACCAATTAGAGGAGTTTTATAACAACTTTAGAAGTTAATAATTTAAAGTACAAAGTTATTTTAATAATTCCGATTATAATGATAAGAATAAGCAGATTTTGACTGAACAAAAACAGTTGAGTTGCATTTTAAAAATAAATGAAGATTATGAGTATCGTAAGTGTTATTTTAATTACCTAAAGTATGTTAATAATAATGTTTTGTTAGTAGCGTTCACCGCTAAAAAACCTTTTACTGTGGCCCTAAAGTTTCTAACCAAGCTAGTAGTAAAAAAGCTCGGTGTGCCTAATATGGAATCGTCGACAATAGCAAATTCACAAGCGATGTTGAATCCTAACGAGTTATTGAGTTATTTTTGATAGATATTTCAACGACTCATTTTCTATTACATTCAGTATGTAAGATGCATTGGTTTTAGATAACAGTGAATTTGTCATTTAAAGAAGAACACAACAATTTCATGAAAGCTTTATTTTTGTCTGCTTATGCGTGTTTTACCTGCTTCTTCAGTACCGCCAGTTATACTTGTTTACGAGGTATAAAAAAATTAAACATCTAATAGAGTAAGTTAGAAAGCAATGTGCTCCTTTTTTTCTGTATTGAAATCCCCTCGGATACCACTTGCCGGTGGCAATGTCGGACTCGACCGACTAAAACCGCATGCCGTCTCAGGTACAAGTAGTCGGGGAACCGGGTGTACCCTAGAAAGGAAATCCCTGGTGCCCCGACGTACCTCGGGCCATCTACGGCGGGTAGACGACCCCCCCCTGTGTGGGAACCCCCATGTTCCCCCTGGGCTCCCGGAAGGGCGCGCGCTTCGCAACGCGCTAGTCGCCACCCCGGCCTGCTTCTGCTAGGGTGACAGATGGTCTCACATGTCACCTCCAGGCCTAGCAATGTGCTCCTAAAGTTGTCTTTAATAAAACGCAACTATCTACTTCTTTATTGTGCGTGCCTTCGCCAGCATTACTATTTGCATTTCCTATTATTTTATAAGACAGGAATAAACAAACGTGTCCCCAGTGTGTGTAGACTGTTTTGCACGGAATACAACTAGTTAAGTTACCTATTAATTTTGGGTGATACGGAGGAATGACCTTAACGTTTGACGCCATTGACAGCTTGCATTAAACGTTTTTACACGCTTTATATTAGCTTCACTTCTATGTTTGTTTGTATGTTTCTAACCTAAACTTTGGGCGTGATTTTGACTGACTTTAAACGGTCAGAATTCGTTCAAACTTTGTAGATATATCGAGGACCGATGACAATACACTAGTTTAAAAATTATAGATTTAAAAAACTAAAAAACACGCTTTCTATAGAAAACCAAACTAAAAAATAGAAAATAAATTTGAAAAAAAGCGTGGGGTGCTTTTTACTATTGACAACAGGCACCCAACGCTTTTTTTCAAATTTGTTTTTAATTTTTTAGTTTGGTTTTCTACAGAAAGCGTGTTTTTTAGTTTATAATTTTTTATATTTTTATTTAGTTTTTTTCGGTAAAATGTTATGTTTACTTATTGTGATATCATTTTTAACCAAAAAAAAATGGAAATTGAAAAAAAAAGTATTGATGATATTCCGGCAGAAAATTCCAATGATTTCCGACATAGAATAATGGTCTGAATACGCTATTTCAGTTTTCGTCACGATGTCCCTTCCAGCCTGTATATATACATTTATATAAATATACTATTTATATATATATTTATATATACTTATATATACATATATATACTTATATATACTTTTTATATATATATTTATATATACTATATATATATATATATATATATATATATATATACTTATTAGGTAATGATGACGACTCATCCTTGAGACATGTCTTTTTGTATTTCTCATTTTGTGTGAATACATATTTTTATTTCCAACTCAAAAAAATTAATCCAATTTAAAACAAGTTAATCTTTGAATTTGACAAGTTAATTTTTTCCATCTACCTTCCCTTCATTTATGGATCTAATTCACATTTCAACTCAATTAAATGAGCAAAAGGTGAAATAAAGTTGATGACTTAGGTCATCAACTTTATTTCACCTTTTGCGAATGTGAATCAATATCACCAACTCTAATAGAGGTACGTAACTTCAATTAACACCTTAGATACAACAAGAAATAAAACAAGAAAGGTACAGAAATATATTAAATTTAAATATAACCTCAGAACGGCGAAAGTTCCATGACTGAACTTATGCTTAACTTAGATTAAACTTAGACATATGCTTGGTGACTATTCTCTTTATTTATTTTTTGAAAAGTTGTTTTTTACTTAGATTATATTATTAATTTAAAAACATGAACTTACATAGTTTCTGCTATAGGAAATATAAAATCCATATCCTGACGTCTAGCGGCATGTACTGTTACGGGTTCAAGTGCCATATCAACCGAATGGTCCATCAATGCTCCCAAAAGGCCTGTCCATGTACCTTCGTATGTTCGGAACCCTAACTTACCGTAGTACCGGATCAAAGTGCTACATAAAGAATACAATAGTTTCAAATTAACAAGTGATCTTGAAAGCCTTGTTTTAAATCAATGTATGGCACATTGGCTTAACACGTGGCTAAGATTAGTAATAGCTGTTTCAATGATTTCCTCATTATTGAGGAACGCTTAAGCGTTCATATACTTACATATTAAGATAACTAATTAAAACACATTACTGCACTATTAAAACCACTGTAGGGATTTCCATTTTATTAGAACACAACGGCACGTGTCTAGATTAATCCAATAATAATAAACTAGAACAATATTAAATCTCCGACCAGCGAGTCAGGCTTCATCGTACCTACTTAAATATTTGAACAAGGTTGAAACTAAAGAACAAACAAAATACTTCACATCATATCACATCAACAGCCTTTAATACTCTGCTGGACATCCCTCCTTAGAATGGAGGTTTTGGCCTACTATACCAAGCTGGCCAGACGGGTTGATATATTGTTTGTGTCAAATTTTCCTTCATTTAGCAGTGTTGTTGTCCTGAGTAATGTTTCCTTAGTCGGCTCTCACGAAGCCCACGAAATGAACAGAACAAAATACTTACGTAGTATTTAAACGAATAGTTAAAAAATTAAGAATGTCGTCAAGCATGGGTCCCGACGAAGGACCGTCATCATCCCGAGTTAGACTTCCATCGTCAGTAGAATTGCATCTTCCTATGATTAGCTCCTCGCCTAAAAAATTTCGAGCTTCCACTGGAAAAGGGGCATCCACCAGTGACATAGAGTCCCGGGAATTCCAATAACCTATAAAAATATTTAGCATAAAAACAAACATAATCTTTACCTTTGTGTTTAAGAGTATAATCTTAATTTAAATTCCAGAAGTTTTTTTTTTTACGCAGCTGTAAAAGATCATGAAAAGACTTATAACGTTACAAATGTAAATACCGTACAATACAGTATACTTTCAAGTGTTTGTTTAGTTTATTTAGTAAAATTATGTGGTATTTGCTGAGACTCCCTCTCTCTCCAAAGTAATGTTAGATGAGATTCGGCTCGACCCCCTCCTTCTCCCCAGAACGCCTCACGTAATTAATGGACGCTCCGTGTATACATCTTATTAAGCACTTACATTTTTGGTAATATGGTTAAAATTTCTTAGTATACCGAATTAAAAAACCTTATATTCTCGACTGAGCGAAAAAATTTAATACTGGACAAACACTATTTATAAGAGACATAAACTTTGTAAAAGATATACTTATTATTCTTAATATTATATTTATGATCCCTTATATTTTCAACTAAAAACTATGAATACCATTTTTTTTAATACCATAATTAATAATAAATAATTAGCAGGTAATAATAATAAATAGGTCACAGTAATGCGTATGTTGACAGTAAGCGTTTTCTCATATGCATGGAATATTTAGACAGTAGAGGTGAGCAACTGAACCCAAAGTTCTTCCTATTTCCAATACTCTACGGTGTCTTCCGAGTCTCTTGACCCTGTCCATCATAGTAGTGGTTAGTTGCTCGCAACACTTTACTGTTCAATATGGAAGTGTGGACATTAAATGGTTTATAGCCTAAGGCCGAAAGGACTATCTGGCAGCACCATAGCCATAGGTTATCTAATTACATATATAATGTACAAGCTACAGTATTAATTATGTTGTAAAAATTTGCTTTCAATATTGACGAATACCTAATATGGTTTGTACTTAGCACACTAAAAGGAGGTTTGCCATATTTGCGATATTCATCAAAATAAAACTCTCGTTTTTATAAATCGGCACGTGACCACTAAGTGTGTAGCTATTTCCTATTCATTTTATAGGAAGTATATATTATTATTTACTCAGTATTCAAGTATAATCTAATAAGCAAGAGATTAAATACTTACCTAAATAAAATGCATACAATGTAGAATTCTTACGTACTTTGAAGTATTGAACTACGCTGATTATTATTCCAAGCGTTGAATTATTATTTCTCAGTATTCCCAATTTTCTTAAGCCGCGGCTTATTGAAAATCTACTTGAGTTTATCATGTTAAAGTTTCTGGAATAATTGTAAGTGGTAACACCGGCATTATAGAGCTGTATTATATTGCTGTTCCTTTTATATGTCTTATGCCTTGTTAAATTCCTGAACCTGTCTGAAGTACGGTAGTAGTTTGTTTCGTAGTCTGTCTTAGATTTCCACTGATTAGAATGAATACTTTGCAGGGGGTTATAGTAGTCGTTGCGTTGACGTTTGTTATTAAAATTGTGGTTACTCTCATAAAAAAAGTTGTTATCACAAAGACCGCGAGGTTCCCTTGCGTGTACATATTTGCTAAACGTATATGCAACAATAATATTTTGATCGAAGCGAACGGGAGTAACATTGAGAACTTCATTGATGAATCCAAAATCTTGATTTGATCTCGATGTTATTAACCAGTCGTATGATGACGTATCCATTTCCAGTTCATGTAACTAATCATAAATAATTATGTTATTAGAATAGTCTGGAACAGCTCTTAAAGCATTCTAGCCATGATTGCAAAAAGGTTAGATTGTAGGTACAATGGTCACTGCAGCGCTATCTCTCACGGAATGCATAAATAAGATTGTGAATTGTCTCCTCTAACATATGATAAGTTTTATGTACTACTAACAATCAATGAGTCATGGTTACTTTAATTGTTGGTGGTAAGCTCATTAGTTGATATTATAACTATAATTATCCATACTTTATATTATAAATGTAAAAGTGAGTTTTTTGTTTGTTACGCTTGCACGCCTAAACCGCTAAACCGATTTTAAAAATTCTTTCACTAATGGAAAGCTACATTAAAGATAGTTCAACTCAGATGTGCGCGCGGCCCTATGTGTGGGTAAACCTTGTACATATACAGTGACTTTGTGTGCGTGACAAGAGGTACAGTCGTACAAATACAAATATAGTTATTTACGGGATTTTTAAAAAAAAGTTATTTCGTAATGTAATGTTTATTTATTGAAAATTATTCTGAATCGCTACTTGAAAAATCAAATGATGAATTTTCGGATTCGCTGCTCTCACCAAGGTTAATTATGAATTCTGACTCCTTGTCAAAATGTCTATAGTATTCTTCTTCTTTCTTTTGTACATGTCGACAAGTTTTACCCCACATCCCTTCATCAATTTGACTAAAACGTTCATTTATGAGTTTCATTATTTCCGTCACATTTTGGTCGACATTATGCGAAGCAATATAATTCTTTAAAATTCCCCACACATTTTCTATGGGGTTTAGTTCAGGATGATATGGTGGCAGTCGAAGAATTTTTATGCCATATGGCTGAAGTATGTCGTCAATCTTGTAACAGATATATTTTTCTTTATTTTTTTTAATCAAATCATACAGTTCAATTTTTTTTCATATCTTGATTAAAAGCTATATTTTTTTCTGTCAGCCATCTCTGCATTTCAATTTTTTTGGAATTAGAATTTGGGGCTCTGTCATTTTGAACGTTATGGTATGAGGCATTATCAAGCACAACCACAGAGTTTAGGTGGAAGATTCGGTACTAGACGTTCTTTTAGCCACTTTTCATAGTTTTCTGCGTTCATGTTGGAGTGGTAATCACCAGAAACACTATTTGCTTTGTATGTCAATAGTGCGTTAGGTACGAAACCTTGTTCTGAACCAGCATGCACAATGATAATTCTTTGTCCTTTCGACAGGTTTCTCTTTAAAGGTGGTCCATCTTTATTACCCCATCCTTTGTTTTGCACATGATTAGTTAAGATGTAGCTCTCATCTGTATATACGATACACCGATTTTCTTGACGGTATCTGAGTAAATTTTTTAGGTAGGAAAATCGTAGTTTTTGGATGTCATGCCGCTCTATAATAACACGTCTGTTATCCACAGTTTTTCGCCATTTGTATCCCAACTTTAACAAAGCTGTACGCAGAGTCGAAATACTTCCATCATAGTTAAGTTTATCTTGAAATATTCTTTTCAACTTTAGCAAGGTAGGTAACTCGCGATGTTCTAAATGGTAATTTTGAATAGTGGAACGTATAACATCAACGTTAAAGTTGTCTAATTCTAACTTTTTAAAACGTTTTTTACGGTCTTTATGCGGAGATTTAAATTTAGAGTCAGATTCTTTTCCTTCAGCCAATATATTAGTAATTGTTCTCTCTGATACCCCCACTGCCATTGCTGTTCTTTTCCGTACGCTATTTAAATGTTCACTTAATTTCGATATTAAAATTGGACTTGCACTGCAAACTGGATCACTTACTAGTTCCAATATATCTCTCGCATCTATTTTCAGAAATTCGTATACCTTAGCAATGGTTTCTCGAGTCTAAAACAATAATACGTAAACGTCAACAAGGATATATTTTTTCGTATATAGAATCATAATAAATATTAATTACATCTAAATTTAAAAAAATATTTACCTGACTCCTTCTCTTCTCTATCATTGAAGAACTAGACATTTTCGTAAACGACTGTACCCTTAAGAAAAAGCGATAAGAACACGTCTTGCTCGGACGACGACTGCCGCGTCACTGCCACACGAATGAAAGTTGTATATTTACAAGCCCACGCACACATAGGGATGCGCGCACAACTGAGTTGAACTATCTATATCAGCGAGTAACAGGCTTTTTACCGGAAAACCCGACGTACACGTGGGCGGAGCAAAGCTAGTAAATATTAAACCTGCAATAGCCTCCACATACATAAACATTTAGAATATCCATTAGATTAAAAGTAATTATTAAGATTGATAACAAACAATAAGACAAACAAAAATATTTTCATAGTATTACCTATTAGTTAGTAAGGTCAATTGCATAGGATTGCAGAAAATTACATCAAAATTATAATGAAAAGTTTACGCTAAACTTACTTTAAACGCATTATGTCGTTAATAACATTTATAAAAATAACTTTTACCTTCTTTAACAGATCCGTAAGATTTGCTGTTTTATTTTTATTAAGATGTGGAGTAATAATAATTATACCCAAATGTTTGAGTAGTCGAACATTTGCTCCGGAGTTTGATGATGCCGCCACGCCATTAACATTTAGGCACTTCATCAAACGAAGAATGGCCCATTGACAACCTGCAACAAACACTTTCGATATTGTAATGAACCTTTCCTTAATTTTACACCTGTATAGTTTGTATTTTAGTTGTATTTGACATAAAAAGCTTTTCATCATCATAAAAGAGAAATTATAAGTGATATCAATAAACATAAGTTTTTATGATATTATAAAAACACATATTAACATGATGAATTTTTATGATATTATAAAAGGACATATTAACATGGGTGTGGTTCACAACACGTACCTCCGCAATAAACAGTATTCATACATCAATTTTATTAAAAGAACCGTAGTTTTTATCTGCCCTGAAGCATGGCTCTCCCAAGGATAAGTTGAGGAACTCCTTTTTTATCTAGCAGTGACTAATCCGTCTTATGTAGTTGAATTACCTTAAAATTACATAACTTTGACGAAATAAAGAGACACTTTTAAATAATAATATACTCGTAATATCAGTTTAATTTGAATTTAACAGAGTTATTTCTGATCCCCGTTATATGCTCATTTGGGATTGGAACCCTATTCGTATCATCATCATCATCAGCAATGAGAGAGGCCTATGTCCAGCAGTGGACTGTGATAACAGTCCACTGCTGGACATAGGCCTCTCTCATTGCACGCCACGTAGATCGATTTTTGGGCTTCTCGCATCCAGCTCCTGCCAGCC